ATCACAACAAAATTTTGGTAACTATGTACAGGTTTCATTTTCTTTTTTCTTTTTTAAATTATTTTTTAAGTTACAGTGTACAGTGTAGACATTTATATAATTTATGCAGTGATTCCCCTTGATTAATCTAGTACCCACCCGGCACCACATGTAGTTGTTACAACATTATTGACTCTATTCTCAATGCTGTACTTTACATCCCTGTGACTATTCTGTAACTACCAGTTTGTATTTCTTAATCCCTTCACCTTTATCACCCAGCTCCCCAACCTCCTTCTCTCTGGCAACCATCAGTTTGTTCTCAGTATCTATAAGTCTGTTTCTGTTTTGCTTGTTCATTTATTTTGTTCTTTAGATTCCACATATAAGTGAGTTCATACGGTATTTTTCTTTCTGTCTGACTTGCTTCCCTTAGCATAATACTCTGTGTCCATTCATGTTGTCACAAATGGTAAGTTTTCATTTTTTATGACCAAATAATATTCTATTGAATATATGTACCATATCTTCTTTATCTAGTCCTCTATTGTTTTGGGCACTTGGGTTGCTTCCAAATCTTGGCTATTGTCAATAGTGCAGTGAACATAGGGGTGCATATATCTTTTCAAATTAGCGTTTTGGATTTCTTCAGGTAAATAACCAGAAGTGGAATTGCTTGGTCATACGGTAGTTCTATTTTTAATTTTTTGAGGAACCTCCAACCATTTGCACCAATTTGCAATCCCATCAACAGTGCATGAGAGTTCCCTTTTCTCTACAGCCTCACCAGCACTTGTTATTTGTTGATTTATTGATGAGAGCCATTCTGACAGGTGTGATGTGATATCTCATTGTGGTTTTAATTTGCACTTCTCTGATGATTAATGACGTTGAGCATCTTTTCATATGTCTGTTGGCCATCTGTATGTCCTCTTTGGAGAAATGTCTGTTCAGGTCCTCTGCCCATTTTTTAATTGTATTGTTTGGAGATCTTTTTGGTGTTGAGCTGTATGAGTTCTTTATAAATTTGGATATTAACCCCTTATGAGATGTAGTATTGGCGAATATCTTCTCCCATTCAGTAGACTGTCTCTTTGTGTTTTTGGTAGTTTCCTGTGCTATGCAAAAACTTTTTAGTTTGACATAGTCCCATTTGTTTAGTTTTGCCTTTGTTTCCCTTGCCCTAGGAGATAGATCAGAAAAAATATTACTAAGAGCAATGTCAGATTACTGCCTATGTTTTCTTCTAGGAGTTTTATGGTTTCAGGTCTTACATTTAAGTCTTTAATCCATTTTGAGTATATTCTTGTATATGGTGTGAGAAGGTGGTCCAGTTTTTCTTCAATGGATGTGTGAATGGATCTATGTCATTTATATAGATACTGCTTTTTTTCACTTATTTTGTCAAATGTAGAACAGAGCCATTAAGTCAATACAAACCCCTTCTGTTTAATCAGCAATGTCCTAAGTGCTTTTAGACATAAAAATAATAACCATAGCTAACACTGAGTACATACTGTGTGCCGTGAATTAACTCATTTAATACTTACTCTTTAAGATAAATATTTCCATTGTCCCCAATTTCTACTTGAAGAAATTTAGACTTAAGGATCCATAGCCAATAAGAGGAAGAGCCAGGTTTGGAACTCAAGTCTATTTGGATCGAAAGCCTGAGCTAAGACCTAGTACTTCTTTAACTAAAATGCCCACTGCTTCTTAGCAAACATCCTCTGCTCTTGTCAGTCACATTTCCTTATTCTTTCTGGCACATAATATTCACTCTCAACCTCCATACCATTGCTTGTATTGAACTTTCTGTCTCGCTACCACCCTCCCACACACACACACATAAAATACTATATTCTTTTCACAAATCTTACCCTTTCAATTCTCAGCCCAATCTCACCTGCTTTCCAACAACACTTATGTTTCTTTTTCTAAACTTCTAAAGCATCTGCAGTCTATGACAGTCTCTTCAAACTGGGGTATATAATACTAAGGCTACAAGAAAACTTCCCAAAGTACATAGGGATAGATAAATTTAAAGAATTGATATACAGGGCCGGCCGAGTGGCTCAGTTGTTTAAGAGCACGAGAGCTGAGCAACAGGGTCGCTTCCCACCTGGGCCAGTGAGCTGCGCCCGAGCTGAGCTTCTGCTGAGCTGCCAACAGGTGGCAGGATGGCTCAGCTGGTGAGAGCATGTGCTCCTAACAACAAGGTTGCTGGTTCAACTCCCGTATGGTATGGTGGGTTATGCCCACCTGCAACTAAGATTGAACACAGCACCTTGAGCTGAGCTGCTCTGAGCTGCCCACGGGTAGCCAGATGGCTCAGTAGTTAGAGTAAGCACTCTTAGCAACAAGGTTTCTGGTTCGACTTCTGCCTGGGATGATGGTGGGCTATGCCTACCTGCAACTAAGATTGAACATGGCACCTTGAGATGAACGGCCGCGAGCTGCCAACGGGCAGCTGGATGGCGACTGGACCTGGGAGCTGAGCTAGCTCGGCTCCACAGCTAAGACTGAAGGACAACAACTTGGCTGTTCCCCTTCTGCAATTCCCCAATAAAATCTTAAAAAAAAAAAAAAAAGAATTGATATACAGATCCTCAATTTCCATTAAAAGTTCTCTGACTAACTATGCTTATGATGAGGGTGTCAGGCTGCTTTTCCATTCCCTCCATCCCTTTCATAATTACCCTTCTTTCACTTCACAAAGAAAATCCAAAATAAAAAGAGGTGAGAGGTACATATCTTTCACCTATTATGAATCTTACTGTGATGAATTGCCATGTAGTTTTAAAACTTTCAGGGGCACCAAACAAAGGAACGATTCAAAATGTTGGTATCAGTTAAGAAAGTAAATGATTTATGACATTTTAAAAGTTCTGTTGTAACCCAGCGGTTTCCAATTTATAACTTAAAAGGCTTTTACAACCAGGTGGTTTCCAATTTATGACTTAAAAGTCTTTTGTAACCAGGTGGTTTTCAATTTTCACAAAATTGAAGGAAGACCAATTGAGTATCAGCTGATAGATCATTAAAATGATTTTTATTGGTAGATAAGTATATGACTTTTGTCATATAACTCAGAGGGAATTTGACATTACATCTTATATTTATGAAGACAAGTTTGCTTAGCATTATAACAATAGAAAATAGAAATAGAATTAATACTGAATGTTGTATCATTCGAGCAGTAATTTATTTATTCACACATACCCAAACTAATTGAAAAAATAACCCAGAATGTCCATGCCATTAAGAGATGCATTTCAAAAAAAAAAAAAAGTACAAATAGGCAGTTACAAAACAGTCATGGGGATGTAAAGTACAGCATAGGGAACATAGTCAATAATATTGTAGTGAAAAAAAAAAGAGAGAGAGATGCATTTCCAATTAAAGTTTATGCTTAATGCCAATAATTAGTTATCAAAATCAGTTATATATATGTTGTTTTGATCAATTGTATATAAACAATAATTCTAATAATAACTCAGATTACCCCCTGAGAGCCTATAGTTATAGGAAATTTTTTAAATCTTATAATATGTAAATATTTTTGATGCAGAGAAGTATGATAGGATGATCAATAAAATATTGCCAACCAAAAAATTATATTACATTATGATAAAACTGTGTGGGAAAAATGAAAGGGAAATAAATATGAGTTCAAGGAGAGAAAGGAATAAAATAAATTTCTGTTAAAAAGAAAAAAGTTTGCACATGTACTTTTTAATTAAATAATGGCGAGTATCAAATCACTGTGGTATTTAGAGTACATTGGGTTATGCTTGAAGAATGCTTTATAGTTTTATTTTTAAATATTGATATTTAAAATATGCTGGAAGTTACATCCTTAGTAACTACTTCCACTCAGAATTTTAAAAACCTAGATGTCAACTTAAAAATATATAAAGAAGTTTATCACTGTTCAGATGCTTTTAGGGGAACATGAAAAGAAATGCTCAAAGACTACTAGACCCTACCTGTGGTTTCATTTGTTCTCCTTTCTTTCTTGAGTAGGTTTCTTGTCTCCCTATCTAGATTGCAAGTTCTCCCTGTGTAAGAATTATGTCCTATATCTTGTGTTTTTCCCAGAGACTCAGGGAGAGGAGCATGTAAGCAGAGTAAGCAGGTGTGGAACTGAGTGGAGCAGTGTTGACTTAAGCAGACTTTGTACCCTGACAGTATTGTAACTCATGCTCATGAATTTTATGTGCATTTTGCAAATATTGCTGTTTGTTCTTTGGTCAGGAAGGTTTCCTCACCCCAAAATACAATTCCTTCCCATCCCATCTCCACCTGATTCTGATGCTTGGAATTTCTTCAAATAGTGTCATAAATTTTCATTCTACATTTATTCAAAATGCATATATCCTTAAGAGATGTAACACTGATCTATAATCATATTATATCAGATTACTTCCTAATAGCAAGTTAGTATAAAGCAGAGTGAGGAGAACTACGAAGTTACTTGTAGGCCCCTTGAGCTGACTGCAGACTAAGCCAAGCATCTCTTATTTACTGAAGTGACCCTGGGAACAGGTTAGGTAGGACCTTATTAGTTCTAAAATGATCAACCACATCAAAATCCTCATTTCTGGGAAAACATCACTCTTGAATAAAGAAGCTCCCAGTGACTAGACTGACTGAGAAATTAAGATATGTTTAAAAGTGACCCTGCTAGTCCTCCAGTTTGCAGGCCACCCCAAAGTAAAACTAAGCAGTTACAACTGGACCTTCCTTGGGGTGAGTAAAGAGTTAAAACACTTCCTTTCCTATTTCTGGTAACACCTAATTGAAGCCCTTTCGCTGCAAATTTTCCCTCTTCTAGTGGAGGGAAGACTTGAGTACAATGCCTAGAACATAGAACACATTCAGTTAATGTTGGTCAAATAAACAGATTTTCAGGAAGACAAAGGACTCCTGAGGAGTAAACAATAATAAAGTTAGACTGCCAATTAATCTGAAACCTGGATCACTAAAAATTTGTATCTTTGGTTCATTTTTCTCTGCAGCAAGTGAAAGGGAACTTTGCTAAGCTACAGGCCTGCATCTCAGAACTCCGCATGTTACAGAGAGAAGGTTGTTTCAGACCACAAGGCACTTCTCTGCAGCTGGCAGTAGAAGATGGGCTCCAGCAGTTCAAACAGTACAGCAGACATGTGACCATAGGCACAGCTCTGAGCTACGCTTCCCTGGAGGTAAGACATGCTGGCCTAAGGGGTCTCAGCCACCTTTCCATTTTGGCTTTCTAGATGCTTCATTATTTATCATTTTTATATTCTCTGTTTCATACACATTGAATGTAAATTTCAAGACTAGATTTTCAGGTCCCTGCAGGCAGAAAACATGTTCCCTTTTTGCTATAACCTGTGCAATTCCTAGTACACAGCTAGGCATAGAGAAGAGCTCTAAAAGTGTGGACTTATATGAACTGTAAGGGAAAATTGAAATCAAAATAAAATCTGAATATGCTATCTACCTTTGGATTTTTGGAACTTGGAAAGCAATAATTAAACTGCCTACATTGGTATCTATATTTATATTTTCTGGTACTCTTAACAATTAACAATTGTTCTTAATCAAATAGAGTAAATTTTCTTGGGATTAGCAAATGTGCAAGTATAAAACTATCTAAAATTCTGGTGCCAGACTGAGACACTGTTAAAAATGTAATAAGTCATGACTACATACCCCATTGAGTGTGTCAGTAAGTGTAAGTTAAAACACTTCCAGTCTCTGGTAACCTCAGGCATCGAACATATTTTTAAAAACAAGATTTAAAAAATAATTGTGCTTTCATCTCCATCCATCTTCATCAATCAAAAATGTCTAAGTACAAAAAAGAATTGTCTCCCAGGGTTTCAAATTCAAAACAAAACTGCTAATAAAAGCATATAGTGTATTCATTCAGGTGGAATAAAATATTCAAATTAGACACAAACACCTCAATATTTTTTCAGGTCAGATATACTGATCAAGGGTAAGTACATACATTTTAGAGTTAAGAGAGCAAAAGAAACAGCTCAACTGAATCCAGGTTGAGCAAGGAAAGAAATCTATGTGGAAGCACCACCATGAGAAAGGAAAATATAGGCTCTCTGATATTCAGTACACATTTAGTGAGTGGAATTTAACGATCCTATTTCCTTTATTTTCTCATAAAATGAAAGCATTTTGAGCAGGACAGATACTACCAGTACTTCAGGCAATCTTAAAAAATTAAAACAAAGGAATGGCTTCTTACTGGTCACTGTCTAGGGTAGGCTCAGCCTGTTTGGAAGGGCTCTGTGATGATCACTCCCACCAGACCTCTCCCAAAAGAATCTGTCAAATGAAATTTGATTTGTAAGTTACAATTAAATCCTCTCCTTTGCCCTAAAGACAGTAGCCACTACCACAGATTTCTCCTGTGTTTATTCTCTAGCTCTAACCTGTTATGTTCCTCACTCTGTACACCAGGGAAGGTGGACACACTGATTCTTGGATTTATTTCCAGATTACTATTCTGACTTCCCAGCCCGGAAAAGAGGTGGTCAAACAGTTGGAGGAAGGATTGAAAGATATAGACCTAGTCAGGGTCAGGAGGCTCCAGGTGGTTGAGATCACAAAGGGAGCCCTAGATTGTATGGACTCAGCATCCCCTGGTGAAGAGCCCTGCAGTGATGGTAAGAATTAAATGAAAAGGTAGAAATAAGGGTAAGAATTTTAATGAGAGTGTTTTACAGGTCAGGAAGATGATTTTCCATGGTCTTTTTATGCTCTTAAATGAAATGAAGCCAACAGATTTCACTGTGGTTCAAACAGGTGTTTCTAGGTGTTAGAGTTGAATTTTTTAATCATATTTTTAATTTCAGAAACAATATGTTATTGTAAAACCTGAAATATTATAGGTATAAAAAGTAAAAATTCCCTCCTCCTCTAATCACTTTTAAGAGATTCAGGTATCCCTCCCAACATTCCTTTACTAAGACATATATCTGTATGTCTTAAAATATATATGTACTTTCAGGGGATTGGTTCCAGGACCCCCTACGATACCAAAATCCAAGGATGCTCAAGTCTCTTATATAAAATGGTATAGTATTTGCATATAACCTATGCACATCCTCCAGTATAATTTACATCATTTCTAGATTACTTATAATACCTAATACAATGTAAATGTTATGTAAATAGTGTTATACTGTACTGTTTAGGGAATAATGACAAAAAACAAAAGTCTGTACATGTTCAATGCAGATGCAACCATGGTAGGCCTAACTCTATAGTACATGTCAGCAACAACGTAACTTTTTCTTTTCAAATATTTTCAATCCATGGTTGGTTGAATCTACAGATGCGTAACCCACTGATATGGAGGGTCCACTTACTGTATTTACTATTTTAATGGGATCATGATATACATAATATTTTATAACCTTCTTAGTGTGTTGGTCAACTATCTATGTTAGTACCTATAGAGCTGTCTCATTTTTTATTGACCACATATTTTTTTACTGTGTGGTTGGACCATAGATTATTTGTTTAACAATTTATTAATGAACAATTTGGTTTATTACATTTTGCTATTATAACTAGTGCTGTATGCAGGGCTGGCTTTATTGGCTTATGACCAATGTGGTCACACAGGGCCCTGCACTCATAAAAGCTCTATGCTTGGGACTTAATGCTCTTAGGTTGCTGTCCTGAAATTCTTAATAATTTTTACCTTTGAATTCATGTTTTCTAAGTGAGTTTGATGGAACAGTGGAGCATGGAGCATGTGCCAGGGGATTAGAGTCTTGACTCACACACACCCTGTATCCTGCGTTCTTCCCACCTCCCCAGAATGGCTTCTCAGTCCCCAGCTTCCCAGCCCTCAGTCCCCAACCCATCCACCCCACCCAGCAACCACTGGCATCCAGGTCCCTGTCAATAAATCCTATATAAACCACCCGTAATCATCCATAAATCACCAATAATCCTATATTTCCTAGAAGGAAAAAATCTTCAAACTGAGTCTTGAATGACAAGTAAGAATTAGCCAAGCAGATGAAGAGGAAAAGGGCACTCAAACAGCAGACCCAGGGACATGAGAAAGCAAGATGAATCAACCTTCAGAGAAGTGCCCATGGCTCCCTATGACTGGAGCCTTATCAGATAGAGGTGGGAGTGAGGCAATGAAGGTAGGCAAGTGTTAGATCATGAAGGGCCACACGTGCCCAAACTCCATTCTGTCCCATTTCATTCTAAGCATTGGATAATTATAAAAAGATTTTAGTCAGGAAGTCAGATAGAGATTCCCAAATTATGGAGTTTAACAGGTTTTTTGTTTTGTTTTGTTTTTTTAAGATTTTGGGGAACTGGGGAAGGGGAACAGACAAGTTGCTGTCCTTTTGTTCTTCAGTCTAGTTGTGGAGGACGTTGCTTCACTGGCCCAAGTTGGCACCATGATTGTGCTCTTCCCGGGCAAGGCAGATCAGTTGCCGGCTTCTGGACGGCCGCTCACTGCGGCTGCTGGCCGCTCACGCTGGCTGCTGGCTACACACGGTAGCCCATGGCAACCCACTGCCACAGGGGCTGCAGCCTACGCCGTCGCCAGCGACTCTCGGCAGCCCAGCTCCAGGTTGAGCTGTTGTTCAGCATCTTAGCTGTGGAGGGCAGTGTCACTGGCCCTCATATGTGGGATCCGAACCGGGGCCCTCTGGCGTCCCAAGCCAGTTCTTAACCAACACACCACTCAGCCGGCCCTAACAGGTTTTTAACTGATTTTAAGTTATCCAACACTCATGTTACAGTTCGCCCCCCAGCAATTCTTTCTGGCTATATTGGCCTTCTCCAAGGTTATGAACATGGGAGGTGCCCACTGTTCTGATACCATTGATGTCTTCCTGCTCCCACATGGATAACCTCACTCTTCCCTTGACCCTCTAATAGGTCAGGGGGTTGGTAACTAAGAGTGTGTTTCCCATCAAATTCTGACACATGTAGATCCTTCAAGGATCATGAAGCCACTAATATTCTGGTCAGGAAGGGAGGGCAACCAGCCTTAGCCATGTGGTTAATGAGCGCTCACCTACTGCACACACTCTGCCTTTCTCAAGCCAGCGTCCTCACTGATGGTCCTTCTTTCTCTGTCTATCCCTCCACTCATAATAGCCTTTTCTTCTGAATTCCCTCTTTTTTCCTCTGAATTCTTTCCCCTATCTTCTTCCAACCAGATACTCCCCTCCCTTTAAGACCTAATTCAGGTTTGTGACTACTGTTTTGATTTTCCTTTCCTTAGAACAACCACATCACTTGCGGTCTGCAGCACACAATTTAGCACTTAATTATATACTGTATAGAATTGTTCACCATTGCTTTATTGTATGATAATTTTGTCCTCTCACCTAAATTGTAAACTACTTGATATCTTTTTTCTCTACATTAAACTGTAAGTATATTAGGATTAGAAATTTGTCTTACTCACTTCTGTGTCCCAGTGTATAGCATATCCTAGGTTATCAGTAGATATCTTTTGAATGAATTGATGACAATGATACGTGTGGAGGCTGTTCTTGGTCTGCCCAGCATCCCCTATCTCTAGTAACACCTCCACCTTCCTGGTCACAGAGTAGGCAATGACCCAGGTGATGCAATCGTAGTTCCCCAGGCCACCAATCAGAGTCCTTCCCAGTGGATTGTCAAACTGAATCTATAAGTGAAAACTCTTTTTCTTTCTCTTTGGCCATGGCAGATTAAGCATGAACTATGCCCTTTCTTCCTTCAGTAATTGTACCCAAAAAGAAATTTCTGTATCTCTAATGGCACAGAGCTCAGAGTACTCACTCTGAGGTTGCCTGATGCTTTTATTTAGAATTGCTAGTAGCTAGAGCTATATAGAAGAGCTTTTAAATGCAGGAAAGCAACTTTTTACCTTGTGTCACTGCTGATGATTCTTTCAGTAATTTCCTATTTGCTTATAAATAATATATCATCCCATAAATTGCTTGTGATTCCTCTTTGTGGGTTAAGTGTATATATGACTCATGGCTTGAAATCTTCCTACTTTGCCTATACTTGCCCATAATTAATTCCTTTATTCTGTTAATGTTTTGCTTCATCTTCATGTCCTATCAAGAGACTGGCAACATTAGCTTCTCTCCTTCTCAGAAAGATGCGTGCTCTGGAATTAGGTTGCCTGAGTCTAAATCCCCGTCCTGTTACTTAGTAGCTCTGTGAGTTTGGGCAAGGTTACTTATCCTGTCTAAGCCTTACTTATTAATTTCTACCTGGTTCAGTAGTTGTGGGGATTAAATCCTACCTAGTTCAGTAGTTGTGGGAGATCATGCATGTTAATTAGTACATAATAAGTGCTCAGTAAACGTTAGCTAGTCTTATTATTAATATATTTTTTTAATTTTTGTATATAAATGGTTTCATATTTCTGAGATTTGTTTTTAATGGTTAGGTCCTAAGTGGACTGTGAGTTACCAGAAGATATGACTGTCTCTTATATGTCTTTGTATCACCAACATATATTATTCTGCCTGGCATATAGCAGATTCTCAATAAATCTTTGTTAAATAAGTAAGTGAATGACTGGAAGAAAATCAAATGATTTCAGAGATGTTGTGGTTACCCTCACTGACATCAACTCAAATAGTAAAGGATACATCCCAAACACCCATAGCTTCCTGTGAATATCATGAATTAATTCAAACAATTCTGAATCTATTTACATATAATTTTTAAACTCCGGTAATCATAATCATCAATTAAATACAAATTGTCTATGCTCTACTTTTTGAAGAAAGAAACATGTTACAAGGAAATATTGATATTTTAGATTAGTTTTAAAAGTAACTGTGATCCAGTCAAGATGACAAAGTAGAAAATGCTGTGCTTGCCTCCTCTCAGACCACTTCAAAATTATAGCTAAACTACAGAACAACCATCATTGAGAACCACCTGAAGTCTAGCTAAACAGAAGTCCTGTAACTAAGGATATACAGAAGAAGCCATGTCAAGACTGGGAGAAGGGGTGGAGATGCAGAACACGCTGGTCTCACACCCACATGTGGCAGTTAAAAATCAGGAAGAGTATCTCAGCTGTAGAGGTCCCCACTGAGGAGTGAGGGGGTCCCAGCCCCACACAGGGCTCTCCAGCCTGGAGTACCAGTGCTGGGAAGACGAGTCTCCATAACTCCTGGCTGTGAAAACCAGCAGAGACTGTGGCTGAGTGAGTTGGAGGGCTGCTGGAGTCCCAGACATTCCTCTTAAAGGGCCCATGCACAGACTTACTTGCTGATGGACTCACTGGCTCTGAGCTCCAGTGCTGGGGCAGCAGCTCAAAAAGTGCCTGGGACATACAGGGAGGAACTGAAATGTCCCCTACCCAGCCTTCATGCACAGACAGGCATCATATCTGAGTTTCCATCAGCGTGGCTAACACCATTCACCCCATCCTGGTGATTCCCTGAAACCCCACCTCACCCAACTTGCAGGCCCACCCAAGCCACTTCCAGTGGCTTTTCCATGCAAATGGCCTGTCTTGGCTCATGCTGTGGACTTTCTTAAGATCTTCCAAAGGTCTTCAAACCCCAAACAAGCAGCATCTGGCCTTAGTGTGCCCCATACTTCTTGGTAAGTACCCCCAAGCCCAGCACTAGCTGCAACCACCTACAGATCACTTTGTAGCTCA